GGTTTGCCACTAAATTTTGAAATACAATGAATACCAAATGTTATAGAATAGCGCTACTCACTTATCTATTCTGAAAATGTGCCCGTTTCTGGATCGGCCTCTGTATCACCTCCAACATATAAATTATTATAGGTTTAATAGCATACCATTTTTATTCTCTGTATTACAGATAACACAAAACACATACAATTATATTCATTGACATGCTGCAGTTTTACTTCTGAAGCAGATACACTCTCCATTCTGAAGTCTCAAGCCATGAAAAGAAGAAAGTATGTTTTTATCATAGCTTTCTAGACTTTTAGTCAAAATTACTGTATTCACAGGTTTAAACAAATTTTGTGTCATAAGTTAATCCATATCCGAGTTTCATATCATATTACCTGCATAAAAAAAATGACAAAATAAAAGAATTTATATGCTATACAGATACCAATCTACTCTAATATTGATGATGACAGTGATGATGTGATTGATACTAGATGATGTTAAAGTAAAGATGAGAGATGAAAATGACTGTGGTGATATTGAAACACTTTGACATTGACACAAATGAGGAACTATGTAGACAAGCTCTAGCAGCTGCTACAAAAGTCGCTGTCTGACAAGAAATGTACTGAATATGATCAAACCTGTGACTGTTGTATTTGCTTCCACAACTTCACCGAGTAGGTCGCAAAATTGTTGAAAAGTACCATAGGTAAGCATCCATGCACTCATAATTGATGATGATTCACATGGTAGGCACTATGTATGAATGAAACCAATGTTTTTGACAAAAAGTCACAGAAACTACTAATTCACAACTAAAAAGTTAGTCTAGTAAGATGCCTTGAGGTGAGGAGTTGCAGGTTCATGCTTCCCCTCACTTCATCATTATTATTACGCCTGGGCCCAGCCTAGGCAGTGGTGGTGTCAGCGGGGAGCAGGCCTCCCCCCCCACCCTGTTGTCTGAGTGACATCACAAGGTCATCAGATAAAAAATGTTAAAACTAAAAATTTGCTTATTCAACTAACATTATTTTGATTGCCAATATCCCTTATACTGTGGTTTAAAAGCACAATTTGAACCATACCAAGCCACAAAAACCCTTTTTATTCTGAAACCCCGACCGAGGCTCTAGCTAGGCCCTAGTCGGCCCCTTGGTTTGAACCCCCTCCATCGGACCCCTTGTCTGCAAATTTCTGGAGCCACCACTGAGCCTAGGTCTTATAGGTAGGCTCTAGGCTAGGGGTAAGGCATGATATTTTTAATAATATTTTTTTATATTTTTTTTTACTTTATCTTTCATTCACAATAGGTATATGCCTAGGGTAGGCCCTATCCATCCCTGATATTCAGGAGAATTAGGTGATAAGTTAATATTAAATAAATATCTAAATTAGTGCTCGGTCCGACTAACTACGCCAGTTCTTTAGTTAATATTAATGACCAAGGTATTTAGGCATGGTATGCCTAATTTAGTTAAGATCTCTCCTCGCCTTTTTAATCCTCTCTTCGTCGCGCGGGGAAGAGGAGGAGCAGGAGGTCGAGGAGGACTAGGGGCCTAGGTGTAGGCCTAGGCCTCTAGTGGGAAAGGATCGACAACGTTCATTCATTGGTTGAAAGTTTGTAAACTCACATGAATAATTATGGGTATTATTACTATTAAAAAATTTTATTTAAATAAAAATCAGCAAAATTTACAAATGTTGCTATATAAAAGTTAATTATTAAGTCAAATAATATCACATCCTACCAATTTAAGAGATTAGGCCTAGCTAGGCCCAGCCCAGATACTCAAAATAGTCGGGCTGTTTTTTGTGAGTACATTGGTACATAGTGTGTGGTGGTAAGTGTGTTTGTTTTTCTCCACATACATTGTAGAGGGCGATAGTCAGAAGCCAGGCAATGGAGAATTTTGTTGGTCTGGAAGTGTTGTATGCTGCTTCAAATATACGCTCAAAATATGATGCAACGGTTTGTTTCTTGCATTGGTGTATGCTCCAAAATGAGTGCAAGTGTAAAGGATTAGTTAAAGTAAGTTGTGTTAATATGTGTACCTATTAGTCTATAATTTATAAAAGGCTAGGCTAGGTTAGGCTTAAAAATCTCAACACTACATCATAGCTAGTTAGTTAGGCCCTAACTTACCTGATCTAAGGCACAAGGCTTCCTCTTGTCTAGCCGATCATTTCGGTCGCGGTATTTTGTCATGTATTTCGGTCACGGTGTATGGAGCGCCTAAGGTGTGACCGCGGATAATAGAACAAGGTAGCTTAGCAGTATACCGTTTGTTCAACCAGGTCAAACACGAAACCTACATTACTACATCATTTTTAATAGGCTGTTATTAAAGCCCCATTCCCGGCAAAATTTCACTAAAAACTGACTTTTTTTAGAAAATATGCATTTGCATTACTCCAATTATTATAAATCATGGAAAAATATTGGCATGAATTTTAGTTTTACGCAAAAGAAATGAGAAATACAGACTATTTCTCATAAAATATTACCATTTTCTCGACGAATTCATCGTTACTAGGCAAATTCAGAGGTTGTAGATCGCATCCACTGGAGTACTCTCGCTTTTATGTATACTTTATACAGTCAATAAAGTGCGCCCTCTCTAGTGAGATTAGTTTTTGTACTTCGCATCTCGCACAATGCGTTCGGTCGGTTAGGTTGAGATATGTTTGTTTAAGTGTCAAAATCTCAGTCAGAATCAGTTTTTTAACAAATTTGAAATAATTCCTATGAAATATTATATTACACAAGTGTCATTACTAGCAACGGAAAATATCATGTCGGCCGTTTTTATGTGTGATAACAGAACCTAAATAGAGGTAAGGCTAGGCCTAGCCTTGCAGCGTTGGATAGGTTAATGTTTTCGGCGCCTACGATATTTCTTCTCACGACCTGTCGCAAAATCAAACATGAAAATTCATCCGCATTTATTTTTTGTGTGGAACACAAAAAATCAAATTCCAGTCTTATTTTACATTTTTTTCATTCTTAGGAATGTCTAAATTCAGTTAAACTAGCAATTCCCTATTATATTTATAAATCTTTATAACATTATACAAAAATTAGATTTTTTTTTTAATTGAAATTTTGCCGGGAATGGGGCTTTAAACAATTATTTTTGTTATTAGTATAAGTAGGCCTAGGCCTATAGTATTACAGTTTACAAACATGCCAACACTCCCGTTTTGGCTGGGAGACTTCTGTTTTGGTGACCTGACTCCAAAACTGTAAGATTTCCTCGTTTTTTTTACAGTGTGTGCTGCTGATAGTTTTGTCATTTTATGTGTTTTCTAAACGGGCGGCGGAACCGGTACTGCAGGTAAAGCGGCTGCCGTACCAATACTTCGACATGATTGTTTTCAAATATTCTATCTGAATAGCATAATGATGTTGAACATTCATAAGCAAAAGCTTGATGTTTTAGGCCCCATAAAAAAATTATTATTTTATCACCCTATCAAAGAATGAAATCTGATAAGGGAGGGAGGTTTTTTTTTTTTTTTTTGCTAACCCCACCCCCATTTTACCGATGATCACAAGTAAATCAATGGTTAGAGACACATATATAAAAAGTCATAAGAATGGAATCAAATTTATATTTTTACCGATGATCACAAGTAAATCAATGGTTAGAGACACATATATAAAAAGTCATAAGAATGGAATCAAATTTATATTTAAAAAATATGTTTTTGTTGTACCAGTAAACATAATTCCAAGAAATCCTGAGCTTTTCAAGTGAAAAAAGATGGAAAAAAGACTGTTTGAAATGAAAATATGTTGATTGGAAAAAAAAATAAGAAAATAAAAAATCGGATTTTCCCCAAAAGTGATGAGGGAGTGGGTGATAAACTAATAATTTTTTTTATGGGGCCTTAGTCATCGACAAGATTGCGAATGAATTCGTTAGTGGGAGTGAGCATAGAGTGAGTGTTTTCGGAAACTTCAGTAATGGGGTGTTGGCTGACCTTCCAGTTAGAAAACATGTTTTATGTTTTAGGTTTTGCGGTTTTGCGTTTGATTAAAGTCAAAATATGTGATCTGTGATTGCAATCTTTCTTAGTCTATTAATTGTATTATTTCACTGTAGTGCGATTGAACAAATGATAAATGAAAAAAATGAATTAACGAAATTACGAACTTGAGTGCTATTTCCGAGCATCTAGACGTGTAAATTTTACAAAATTTGGAGACTCTCACGCCGTACCAAAATGTGGCAAAGACAAGCCAAACCAGTCACTCGTCGCAAAAATCATTTTTGAGTTATTAATACAATGTTAGAGAGTAAAATAATAGCTGTAAAATGGAAAAAAAATCATTCAAATCGGACATTTCCTTATGAAGTTACAAGTGTTTAACCACCCAGCAGTTTAAAGAACAATATAAGAGAAAGTTTATGATTTCAGGCATTTCTCATGCAGAAACTATCTTTAAATCCTTAAAAAGTGTTGTTTTAACATTGAAAATTGGGAAAATAACATAGCATAGAATGATGTGTAGATATATAAAGGTTAGTTTGTGAAATAAAATAGATTTTTAAAAATTTGACATTCCAGCATGTTGGCCATTTTCTCTGAAACATGATTTGCGGCGAGTGACTGGTTTGGCTTGTCTTTGCCACAAATGCTTCTGCTGCCCCTGCCAAATACTACTAATGAAAATTTATATTTTATGTTGTCAGGAAAATGTTGAGAGAAAGCTTAGTGAATTGTTACCAGCTGAGTGGAATAAGGACAATGATTTATATTCTTTAATGTATCAGAGAACAAACGATGAGGTTTTCACACTGAAAATTTTGCGTGTGGAAGATACACTTTTGGTGAACACACAGGTATAGTATTTGGAATTTCTAGAGAAACTCTGTTAAATAGTAAAAAAAAAAACAAATTAAAAATAATAGCCACTGTTAAAGACAAATTCAATGATGATATTGGAAAGTATATGATTGATATATGAACCAAGCTTACAAAACCTGTTTGTATGCACAGTACTTTTTGGTACCACCAAATGTCTACAATGATAGTTGCAAACATATAGTCTATCCATAACAGTGGCGGATCCAGGAATTTGAAATGGAGGGGGCCCAGGGAGGAACTTTGACAGATGGAGGGTCTACAGTATACCACCTCAGCCCACCATGGTTCGGGCTGAGCTAAGAAAATTTACAATTATGTCACCTCTAAACAGCACTCACCTGTCTGTATGACTGTAAACAAATAGGCTCCTAAACGGTGCCTCGCGGCAGGTATACATATGCTAGCCTAGGCCAAGCAAGACAAGGTCCAGCAAGAAACATGCTTGGCGGCAGTTGGTGTAGGCTTAGGCCTAGGCAGGATCGTTTAGGGCTCCCCGAACAAATTTGACCGCGATGTAGGCCTATCGGCCTAAATGTATTTATTGTATGTTCTCAGTCAATTTGATTCATTAAATGATTACTAAATATCCTATTCTAATAATTATATGATTAATATGCGTATTGACTTAAAAATTACATAAAGACTGTGGGAAGGGAAGACTATTCTACACTAGGACCTACTTACTATGTGGTTTAAAATAAATTGAATTTTTTTTTCTCTCAAAAAAAAAATTCCCCCCCCTCCCAAAAAAAAAAAATTGAATAGGCCTACTGTACCATGACTGTACATAGTCTAGGCCTACTTACACTATTGTTTTGCCGTTAAGAAACAGGTCTCTTAACTTCACAATCTACAATCATTGACAAATATACATTAGGCCTAAACCAAGTTTATTTTGTAGTGTATTTTGCTTTGGCGTATGGTGCTCAACTTTTTGTTGTTAATAAATTGTTTTCATCTATGTTAAATTTGTGATTAAGTAATCATTTAAAGACTTCTTGTCATATTTTAGTTAAAACAAGTTTTATTAGGATGCGTGCAGAAAGAATATTGATATGCGGAAAAGTAAAATTAACCACCCCCCCTCCCAATTTTTTTTTTTTTTGAGGTGTGACTCTAAACAATGCAATGCATCATTTTGAGATCTAGTCGCTTGTATACTTGCTCATTAGGTGTTGCTTTACTTTATTTCAAAAGGGAAAAAAGTCGCTTGTCATATTTTAGTTAAAACAAGTTTTATTAGGATGCGTGCAGAAAGAATATTGATATGAAAAGTAAATTTAATAACCACCCCCCCCCCCCCCCGGCCCTGATTTTTTTTTTGGAGATGTGACGCTAAACAATGCAATGCATCATTACGAGATCTAGTTTCTTTTATACTTGCCCATTAGGTGTTGCTTTACTTTATTTCAAAAGAGAGAAACATCACTGCTTGTTACCATACCACGATAACTAAATATTGGCAAGTCCAATTAGTTTCATATTTGGCAAAATGCAATGAATGAATTTGGTGACTATTAATTATCGCAATTCCCAAATTTGTGTTTAGTTTGCGTACAAATGAATGTACCCACCCGCAGGGTTCTGGTTTACAATCTTGAAAAATATAGGGGGCTGGCTGGGCCCCCTTTGAATCTGCTAATGCTTAAAATTCACTTCAACAATGTAAAACACATATATAAATGTTCAACTGATGTAGGCCTATATATAAATCTACATATTGACCGTTTTTAATCTTTTAAACTGTTATATATTCTAGTATTGATTTATAATTGTTTGAAATGTATATGTGTTTTAATATGAGAATTAAAACACCAAATATTTCAGATCCATTTTGTTTATTCCAGAGAATGAAAGATGATAAAGTTAGCAGTTGCACAGTTGAAACTAGTGATTTTGTTAATGAAAGTAGTGGCTGGTGTTATGATAGGCAAGTACCAATCAATGTATTTTACTTCATTCAGGTATCGTATCCACTTTTTACTAGTTTCTGTTCTTAAACTCGCAATAATCAAACTGTTTTAATGGAATACTATGTATCCTTTTACTTCAGTACGTACAAAAACTTACACAAACTTCGAAAACAGTTTGAGAATAGTTTGAAAGAGATTTTCAGCAAAGACAAATCAAATGTGAAAGTTAGCACTAATTTGAGGGAAGAATCAGAATACAGAAAAACAAGAGATCAAGCAAGGGCCATGCATTGGTAAGTAAATACACTTTCTTGTTAACATATACAATAGTTTAAACTTGAATAAAATAATCTTAGTGTCATAAAAAAAATTAAGTTTGTACACACCTATTATATAGAATGTTGTTAATTCATTGGTTAATATTAAAAGGTCATGTGAGATTTTTGAAAGAAGTACATTGTACAGTTGACGTCACTTCACATGTCGCTAATATATTTTGTTGTTACCAATTTTGCTGTGCAGTTTTAGTTGATGGACTCCGCCACTCTAATAGATAAGAAAATATAGATCTACTGTAGTTTAGCCAAACCTTTGACCTGACATGCACAAGCAATTTTTGTAACCACCTGACAGTTGACAAAGAGCTTTATAACAGTGAATGTTGCCCGGAACATTTCCTCTTTCACCTCATCAAAATTCTTTATTCCATTGCATTCACAAGTATTCATTTGTTTGTATACTGTTGTATGTTTTACCTTTTGTAGGCATGACCCATCACCTCATTTTCAACATGATCCATTTTCTGTTGGAGCGTCAGATTTGGATCCATTTTCAAGCAGTTCATCTGGGATGTTTATGGACCCTACAAGGAGCGGCTTAGGAATAAATCCTCTACCAAACAGAATGCCAAGGTAATGTTACAAAATAAGAACATTCATTCTTAAGTGGGGATGCTATTTTTTTTTTTGGCCTTAAAAATAATGATAATATTATTTATATATAGCGTACTTTTCAGATTTCTGTTCAATGCGCTTTACATAAAAAGATGATGAAAAGATTTCAAATTATTATTTATAAAAATGTCTACCTACTGAAGTATATTATTATACCAGGGGTGGCGCCAGGATTTGCCCGACAGGGGGCCGATGCCGATTACTATTATTTTGGCATGTAAACCCTAGTGAATATGGTGGCAACACCCCTGTAACTATCAGTACAACTATGAGGCTGATAGTAATTCTGTATAGATGACATAGATGACGTCTAAATCTTTTAAATTATTATTATTGTTTTTATTTTTGTTGTTATTGCTCTGATGAAGTTTTGCTGTTTATTATTGTTTAAAGATGTGTTGTCCCTTGCTAATGTCAAAAATAAAAAAAAAAAATTGAAATCAGCTTGCTCATTTTGCAGTAACATAAAAATTATTAACTTTTGCATAGAAATCCTGTATTTAAAAAATGTGCACCCCGATTTTTAAACCAGAAAATTATCATCATCATTTTTCGCTGTAAACTGATGAGTAGACATTTTTTATATACAATAATTTCTATGTTCAAGTTGATAACTTTTATGTTACTTCAAAATGAGCAAGTTAATTTCAAAAAATATTTTTATGATTTTTTTTTTTTGGTATTTAGCATGGGACAACTACAGTATAATACATTGTATTGTAAAAATTGTATTCTTTAATACTTTACTGATGTGTGAGTATAATTCAATCAATTTCAAGACTTTATTTTGGCTTTCTATACTTGTAGAATTGATATATGAGGCACACATGAGTGAGCTGTACCTGTGTCAGTACTCTACAGGGGTGGCGCCAGCAGTCGGGGAGAAAAAGCACAATTCGTCGGGAAAGAAAAAAAATTATATGTATTTTTTACATATTAGTAGACCTTTGAAACCCCTAAATTGTCAAAACTTTCGGGGGCTTTAATCGAAGCCTAACCACGCCCACTTTCCTTTCGTTGGGGAAATCTGACCCCTCGTTGGGCCATCGGCCCCCTGTCGTGCAAATCCTGGCGCCACCCCTGGTATAATTATTACTATCGTTGTAATTAATACGGCCCTTGTCCACACTTACTCTATTTTCTTTGCAAATATTTAAATCAAGTATCAGTAAATCATCTTTTTTTGTTGTAGGGGATCTGGAATTCCTGGGGCAAGATTTGATCCAGTTGGGCCGGCAATGAATTTCCAAACACCAAATCCTGATCACTTACCACCTCCTGGATTTGATGATATGTACACATAAATCATCTTCTTTATAGCTAATAAGTAGCGGTTGTTGAAATATTCAAATTCATCTAGAATATATAGTGAAGAAGACATTTTGTGTGTTTTGTTAATAGACATAATCTAAAGCTCAATCATTACTGTCAAATTTTATTTGACGAGTTTGTATATATTTGCCCATATATGGGCATGATTGTCATATTACATCCATATATTGGTATGATGATGTAATAATAATATAAATATAATAATAATAATAATTATAGTCAGGTTTTGAGTTCACTATAGGAAATTGAAACCGAAGGAGCCATTATTTTTTGAAAAAATTACCTGAAGCCTGCAGGGCTGGAGGCAATTTTTGAAGGAAATAATGGTTCCTAAGGTTTCTATTTCCTATAGTGAACAAGATTACAGGCTTCTATTTCCTATAGTGAACGAAATTACTTGACTGTAATTGCTTTATAGGTCAGTTGTGACGTCCTTCACCTTTTCTATGGCCTTTTATAATCAAACTGCTGGTTGTAGAGCGGTTGCTATAGGCCCTATATCATAAATCCATCAGTACTGGTTGCCATGTGAACCATGACCGGTTGTTTACTGATTACTGTGCGTGTATTAGAATGATTTGTTAGTAGTACGCGCACTGACTCTTGACACAGAGCTCTTCGTAATGCAAAGATGAATGAATTGAGTTAATAAAGTTTATTAGGCGTTATTAAATAGGCCTAACCTCTTAGTAGACATTTGTTTAATAGATTGAAATGTATTTTAAACATTATTATGAATTATTTCAGCATTGTCTTATTTTTTCAGTTCTTTTATAAGTCAATCTCCATGTTATCTTAGAACCATTGTGACTTTCTAGGCCATGCCTAGGACAGTCTAGGCTTTATTCTTGTTCATTAGCGCCGTAGAGCGAGATTTGCTAAATTCGCTGTGTGTGTTCATCTTAGTCTAGCAACAAATTTGTGTTGTAACTGTAGTAAAATTATCCCAGCTTTGCACTTTTTTGCACACTAGGTACAAAAAATCAGATGCATTATATCGAATAGTGATCAGTCGGGAATAGGAAAATTCAGTGCAAATAAAAGTGATGACGTCACCACTGACTTATAAAAGATATTAGATTACTGTATTATTATTGTCATACACATATATGGGCAAATAACATGTATTAGAGTTTCATAGCTAACCAATATAATATACAGTTCACTATGAGAATTAATGATTGATTGATTAATTAACAATTAAATACATTCTTCTTGAATTTCAAAGATGTTATTTGAATTTTGACATTTACGAATTGTTATGGGTTTTTTATGCTTGCCCAATGTGCTCTTGTTCCTAAAACCTAACAGTCTATCATACTGATTATTCTCAATAGCAGATTCACAAAGTATAGGCTGTTTTCGACTGGTTCGTTTGGTTGACAACGGAAATTAACTTAGACCCTAGAGTGTTAATTTGCAGTTATTCATGTGGCCAAAACAAACATGGTTGTCTGGTCATCTTTGTTAAGTAGGATTTTACCATTCCGCAGACAGGCATGATTTAATGACGAACAACCAGTCACACCTTATTTTGTCACTTTTAGGATTTCATTTGTCTGTATTTACAACAGTAATACCAAAATGTTTTAACAAATTCATTCATTTAGTGATAAAAAATCTTGGTGTGGTTCAAATGTTTATAATAATATGAGATAGTTCTCCAGAGATGTCACAAAGAGCTGCATAGGCAGGTACATCATTTTGGTTTAATCTTAATTTTTGGTCATCTTGAGGCATAACAATTTAAGCCTCCTTCCATCCTGTAATCGTCAAGTGTACTTGCTGTTCAATGCGAAAGAAGCACATTTTTTTTTAATGCAATATATTTATAAAAGCATGTGAACATTTTGTAAATACCGGTAGACACACATTTATGTAAAACTACAGTATAGTAAACTATATTTCAATATAATACTGAATGCAAGATCATAAAGGAGAGAATATAGAACAGGAATAAAGAATATATCGCAGGGGCCAAAATTGTTCATTGAATAAATTTCAAGGGCCAGGACAAAAGGTGTACTGTATGCAGCATCCCAGTGCTGTGGGTGCGAGCAGGGGAAGGCAATTTTTGAAGGAAATAATGTTTCCTAAGGTTTCTATTTCCTATAGTGATTGAAATTACTTGACTGTAATTGCTTTATAGGTCAGTTGTGATGTCCGTCACCTTTCCCCTCTCAAATTAGGAATTTTTTTTAAAGTAATGTTGCTAGGTGCTCATACATGGCATCTTGACCTAAGAAAGTTACTTATTGTGTTTGTTAATGCAAACATCATCAGTAACACAAACACTTTTAATCACATATGAATGACATAGGCCCTATGTCATCTTACATTGTTACAATCATGATCTTGCCTGCTTAGTGACTGAAATTGGCCTTTGATGCTTGTGCCAGTTGTTTAAAGTGTGGTTTTAGTTCAGTTGTGGTCAGAAATGTAGTATTTTTGTTTCCAGGAAATATTATTTTCGACTTGTTCTCACGGGCCGCATATCACGCATTCGCAGGCCAGACATGGCCCACAGGCTGCTAGTTGAGAACCCCTGATATAGAACATTGAGTAAATAAGAAAATACAGAAATAGGAATGCTGTTGGCATAGCGGTTTAAGGTGTATGGCCTCAACCAAGAAGTGATATACAAACTTTTCTGTGCTTTTTGCTTGTGTCTGTGGTCAACGGCAATTTACCTACTTTTGTCTCTCTCCACCCATTAGTATAGATTGGGTACCTGGTATAATGTTGTGACATGATAATTATGTAGCATGTGCATATTAAATTACAGCACAGATTGGTTGATCTATGGATCCAATGACCAAGGAGGGTCTAAACATAACCAGTGACTTGTATAATATTCCTATATTATTATTATGACATTCTATGCTACATCGTGTTGTTGCTTTCATGATTATTCTATGATTTTAATTAAAAAAAGGATTGATACAATAATCTTTTCAGTTTTTATAAATTTATCTACAATAATTTGGCATATTAAAGATATACTGCCATTAAAAATCTAAAATTTAGAATAAAACATTAAACAATTTACATACATTTTAATTATTTTAATTGCCAGTAATTTAATTATAGATTAAAGACTACTGAATATGAATATTATTATTTAATCATATGTTAATTTGCAAGGAATTGGGTTTGGAAAGCTTTTAACTAATGAAAATACAGTATGTACGTATATATGTTTATTATTTTCTATTTATTAGTTTTTTTGTGGCAGTATATTTAAATGTGCAGTACAGCTTGTGAAGTTGTAGATTCATTTTATTGGGAAATTCATTTGGAGCAAGGCATGAGTCTTGGAAATTGTGCCAATATCCATATATAAATATATAGCTAAACAAAATCCTGTGATACAAATTTGAATAGATGATCATTGTCTGGTTCTGTTTACGTCGAAGGCAACATGCCTTAACACGTTTTCATAAATTTGCACAAAAATCGTATGGAATTCAGTGGTTTTTATGAAAAATAAGAAACAATTGTTTCTTCCAACACCGATTGTAGGTACTGTACTTTACCCTCATAACAATTTTTAATCAATCAACCAATCCCTGTCTCTCTCTCATTATCCTGTCAACCAATCAACCAATCCCTGTCTCTCTCTCATTATCGCAATCATTATCCTGTCAGTAAGAAGACTGCATTTTATCCAGTGTTAATTGCTTCCTAAATGTTCTTTATTTATTGTTAATTAGCAGTATAATAATGGTAATTAACAATCAATTATCTAGAGGCCTGTCAACGCCTAATCGAGATTATTCAGGGATTAACATGACAGATCCTGAGCAAAGCTGAATGAAATCTGAGAAAACTGTAAATCGTCTCGAATGAAATCATCTCAGCAGAAAACCATGTTTGATGTTAAATTATCAGTGAACCTATTGAATTTTTAAAAATACATACATACAGTTATATGGCATTATTTTTAAGAAAGAATAATTAACTTTGTTAAAGTTTAAACACACCTAGACTGGAATTTATGGTACTGGTACAGGTATTTATAATTCGCCTTATCCTTGAGGTTATAAAGCTCACGCTAAGTCTCATATGCCCAACTGCGGGGATTCGATGTACCCGACCTGGGGGGGGGGTCGTCTTCCGACGAGAGCGTAAGTGGGCGTGGTCGGGCGTCTTGACATTTTTATTTTGCCCTTCCAGCGTCCTTTTCTGGGCTAAAACCCGGAAACAAAAATATTACATTATATTTTGTAAGATACAGGCCTATATCAAGAGATGACCTAATTCTCATGGGTTGCCTTCTTATTCGATATTCTCCCATATGTACACATAGGCTAATTATTTCCCACCCCTAAATCCCACAACTGGATCCTCCCCTACCTTCGATTACCCCTCATTAGTTCATTCTCTGATATTCCGTATGTGTGTATTCAACTTCATTAGATGATTGTTTAGTTTTTTGGTAACCCTCAGCTAGTGATGTGTCATATAGTTGACAGTTTACGATGACCTCAACTAAATGTATTTTTATTTATTTTTTCTTCTGTGAACACTGTACTATTTGTTTTTTCTTAAGAAAAAATCCCGGAAAAAGTCTATTCTTTTATTTGAAAAAACAATTCATGAAATTAAAGAGGTACGGTACAACCGTAGCTTCAAGAAAAATAATAATGCATTTTTATTGTACCGCCACCAGTTTGGGAAAGTAATTAATTATGCATAAAAATGTCTTCTGTGGTTGGTTGATTGCCATCATTTAAATGCTAAGTGGGTGGACGGTCGGATATAATGCTCTCATTATAATTTCATATTTCAAAAAATTGTTTGGAGTATTATGATCACGTTCCATGACAGATTATCCACAGGGTGCCCCTAAGCCAAATTTCAAAATTGAATAAATTGCGTTTTTCCGAATCACGACAGACTGAGTTGATTAGGCCTACTGGTTAAAATGTAAAAATTTAAGATTTTATTTTTAAATCACCGACATGCTCGACTGTTTGGAAATGTGGACCTTATCAAATTTGGTTGGGTGCGTTATACACACTTTTCATAACACCCCACACTGTATACGGGTCTGGATAGGTCTATTTTACATTTGAATTGCCAATTAATGCAGTATTATACGATTATTAGATATCTTCTCAATTTCTCAGTATTTAAAAAAAATTCTTTTTCCACTTCCAACGTAGTAGGCCTATGATTTGAAATCGTTGCTCTTCAGATTCCGTGATCATCTTCAGTCTCTCAGTGCTCGGTGGTCATTTTTTACTTTGTTTTTAGATGTACTGTATCAAAGTGTGTTTTTTTTTTTTAACTCTCTTGGTCTAGGCCTATAATTAGGCTACAACTCCATTAAAGACTTGTTTTTTGTGTGTGTGTGTTTTTTTTTTAACGAATAGCATTTGTTAAAATAATGAAATAATAATTCAATAATTCATTTATCAAAAAGTAATAATTAAAATAATATGTTTTCGCTTTGGTGAAATTTTCGAATAACAAAATATAATAAAATTATATAGGCCTATGCCTTTTAGTAAGGTTATAAGAATCAACGCACATGTATAGCCTATCCTCCCTGTGATTGATTTTGTATTAAACATTGTGACATAAATCATAATAATAACAAAAGAACTCAACAGTGTACCGTACGTTATCGCGCAGCCGATTTATTTACAGTCCCTCTTTGATTAATACTTAGACAATGCAAAAAGTTTATTTTGTCTATATATTTTTTCTTTGGTTTAGGTAGGTGGCATTTCTGACAGAAAGGTTGGAATTCGCCAGACCACAGGCATTGCTATCATTTTATATTGGCGAACGGTGTGAAGACGGTCTGGATCCGCGCCTCCCCGGCCAGGTGCCCTGAAATTGCACTCTCATACATTACAATAATCGGACAATAATACAACAATTATTTTTCTTAATACAATTTAGGGGGTGGGGGGTGCGACCACACCGTCTGCACCCCATCTGCATCCGCCCCAGCTGGTAATAAATTGAAGAACTAGTTTTTTAGATCTATTCCTGGTTAGAAGTTAATAACTTATTTGATTCTTTTAAATGAGCTCTCCAAAATTTTAATTTCAGTTTTATAGTGTTTTCCGATTTTTTGACTCACACACAATAAAACTCGTAAACTCGTATAGCGTAATGCGCCCTCATTAGTCAGCTTGGTAACAATCTCACAGGACGCTCTTTGTCTAGCCACCTAGCTAAGGCATTTATCAACCAATACTTCCCGTCGCGGGTGCTTTCTCCCCTGTCAACTTAGGAAGTGTCAAAACACAACAATCTTTCTGTATTATTCGCATTCAACACTTAATCACAAACTATAAATAGATAGTCTAAAACATCGAAAGACTAGTAGGCCGGTGCTATTCAGGTTGACATACGAATGTGCTGTCTGTGAACAAAATGTAGAGAGGATTTGCTGTGTGTTGAAAACAAGTTTCGAAGTTTACTGAAGAAAGAAGTGATCAACGAGCGCCAGCTTTCTCATCGGACCTTTCATTGATTACAGCTAGGCCTAGCCTATTTTTTATCCCCAGTTTGTCAGTGTATTAGGTAAGTTATTAAAATCACGTTGCTATTTATAATGGTCGTTAGTTGTGGCATGACATTGAATATGGATCAAGTCAATTATGAAGATGGAGTCAAGGTGGTGATGAAAGTGGTAGTCTAAGTGTGAAACTTATAATTATTATTATTATTAATAATAAAAAAGACGAATTTATTCGCTCAAGACTAAATGTTTTGGCGAGAAAATTTCTGAAACCGGTTTTCCCGAGGTGATTGTTTGCTTTTGGTGGTTGCTTCGGTCAATTTTGGACTTGGAACTGTTCCTACATTTTGTGAAGCGAAATAATGTGCAGCCACATGTTAATGGCAGTGCGACAGAAATGTTCGTGAAAAGTGTGTTACATACTTACTTTGATCAATGTCGAAAATTAGGATGCACTCTTGCGAAGCGAAATAATGTGCAGAGACACGTTATTGGCATTGCGACAGCAGTGTTCGTGAAAAATGTGTATCACAAATTTTTTTGCTCTTGTTGCAAATAAGGATGTGCTTACACAATTTTTTCTTGTGGTGAAACATTTAACATAAAATGTTTTGTAACTGTATATTAAAATACATTAAAAAGTACAAAAAATAAATTTGCATTTTACAAAAAAAGACAAAACAAGAAAACAAAAAAATACTAGAACATCTTTAAATAAGGTTAATACAGTAAATTTAGTGTTAGTGTAGAACCAATGTACTCTTCTATGGTTCTTGATCACCCTCAATTTTATTATCTTGTTTCAATTTTGCAGACCTACCTAAATTTTAAGAAATTGTTTGACCTTTTATAGACATTGAATGGAATTTTTTACCTTACATAAATAAAAAAAGTTGCATAATATAACAGTCAGGGGCAGCTTAACTAATTATGTTACTCAGTAGAGGCAGCTGCCCCTTGTCATCGTCAGCAAGGATACAGACATACTGCTTCAGGATAAATGTACTTACATCTGACTCAGAAGACGTGATATTTTTCATAACTTCTGAAAATGAACTCGCAATCATGTTGTGAGCACTGGTGTATAATTTTGACAGTGATATGCCAATGTAAAAAGTGGACTGTTGTTCAGTAAGAAGCTCAATATATTATGACCCTACAAAATGTTTTTTTATCACCTTGTTGGTTAATGAATTCTTAAAGATTTACTTACTTTATTGAAGTCTGATGTAGAAGCCACAACAATTTTGAGATTTAATTTGCTCATTTAAATTGGTCAAATATTAGGTGTCAATTCCAATGGCACTGGTACTTAAACATTAGTTTACAGCGTACTTTTAATAATTAATATAGAAATCCATTTAATTAATTATCAGTCAATTTAATATGAATGTTAGTATTAACTAGTAATTGCACAGGAATAAAATATAAATACTCTACTAACTGATTATTGCAATTGAAATTCTGTTATTTTATCCTTTTTAGCTCAACATACAGTAATCAGTGTTTTTGTAACATAAAATGTAAAATTATTTAAATTCATCCCTTGCAAGTCAGTTCCATTGCGCTTCTCTTTGGCAAGATGGTTTTAAATGGTTAATTTACAAGTAATTTACATTAGTTATTTCAATCCATTCCAAGTAGAGTTCAATTTTTACATCTATGGTAGATTGTGTATACATTATAGTTATATTTAAGATTTTGTTTACCCAATTTTTTTAAACTCCTTGTTTACATGCAGATCAACAAAACAATTTATTTTACCTAACAGTGCCTTATCTAAATTTCACAACACTATTCAAATAATATACTGGGTTATAGAAGATATACATATGTTGACAGAATAAGAGAGATATAAACAAAGCTTGTAAATGATGATTTATCAAAGCATTTATCAAAGGACTAACCTTTCTGATTATTATATAAATAAATTGCCAAGCTTTACCACTTCATATGTTGACAGAATAAGAGAGATATAAACAAAGCTTGTAAATGATGATTTATCAAAGCATTTATCAAAGGACTAACCTTTCTGATTATTATATAAATAAATTGCCAAGCTTTACCACTTCATATGTAATGTCATTAGAGGTGTGAAATTGATTGTTTATTGTCAACTGGCAATTGTCTCTTACTGCCCATCATTACTGTATGGCATGCCAAGCCATGTCATTTATTTTCTTCTTTGCGCAAATAAATTCACCTTAGTGGTAACAAAGATACTAGAAATACAAGATAGAGTTCTCCACACAAAAAAAGTGTTCCACCGCGTTCCACCGAAATGCATGATGGGAATACGAAAAATGGGACGCCCCCTACAGCTGGATCTAAAAAAACTTGTACCAAACTTTCGTTACCAAGTCGTCGCGTATTTTATTATCAATTCTCAACAAAGATACTAGATATAAAAACAAACTGAAATAGACACCCAGACAGTGACATCGGTGAATACATAACCTCCTTGGTGGTAGTAGAAATCGTTGCTATTATCTAAATAATACACAAAACAATTAAAGCATAATCATGAATCAGTAAAGAATAAAACAACAATACAGCGCAGAATCGCATGGCCGGACGCACTCTTAGTGAAAAAGTTTTCCTCCATTAGTGGAAAAGGAAGGGCGCCTTTGCGTCTGGATATACTTAGCAACAAAAGGGCGCCCTGTACGTTGGGCACGAAGTATAGGAAACTTGCATGATTAAAAAGAACGGCGCCGCCTACGTTGGGCACGACTTCCGCCTCATTTTTACAATGCGAGAACTCTATCTTGTATTTCTAGTATCTTTGGTGGTAAGCAGGCTTTAGAGAGTGCAGTTGTTTTGATCCTAAGAAAAAATCCTGTTAGCAATTAGGAATTGAACCCAGGACCCTGGGATTAAAAGGCAAGCATCTTAAACCACCAAACTATTCAACGCCACTAAATGATACTATAGAACAGGGTCTATGATGATACTTTAAATAATGATACTGTAGGCCTACTAATTATAATAACAAGTTCTTGTAATCTCGAAAGCTCCGATGAGGGCAGTATAATAGGGGCAGTAGAGCATATTGGCCCTAATGGCCGCCCATACAAAATGATATAAATCAATCAGCCAAGTGTTTCTAGAGCTCCTGCGGCAGAAGCGTATATTGTCCCTAACGGCCGCCCATACAAAAAGATTTATTTATCAATCAGCTGAGTGTTTCTAGAGCTCCTCATCACAGCTAAAAATATTAATTCTCATAGAATAACATTAATAGTAATAATTTATAATAATGAAACTAAAACTTTGGCATTTAATTATCTCACCTGAGTTTATTATACTAAGTATTGTAAGTGTACATCCATTCTAAATCTAATATTTTTCAAATAACGTAATACTAATAATGAAGCTTCAAAGTTTTTTCCGACCATATGAACATGAGATGAGTTAATTAAGCATGTAATCTACAACATGCAGTTGTGAGCGTGATAGCAGAGTGCATTGGCGCCAATAATCCAATTAATCAAACATCTCTTCTATCACTGTGCTCTTCGCCAGACCTCAGACTGCTCTTTTACTTTAGGTATTCTCATTTCTCCCCTTATTCAAAATTTAAACAACTCTTTCATTATCTTGTACACTCTTATAAAAACATTACTTATGTTGAAATTGAGAACACCCACCTTTAAAAAAGATATAATGAAGCATCAAATTGCTCATTTTTAAGGAAATAAGTTTCAAGGAGACCAAGGAGACACATCAAAACATTGCTTTGCAAAAAAATCTTAAATTTTTCAGGAATGGTTACATGTTTTGTACAAAAACATACAAGTAGTTTAAGTTCCGAGAATTTCAATAAACAAATTAAAAAAATTTTTAATTCATCAAAATAATTACATAAAATGAGTTTCTTTAAAATAAGGAAAGTGACAATAAAAGAAACAATAAGAAACCTTGCTTTTAAAATTGGTAAATATTTTCTTGTGTTATAATATAATTTTAATTATTGAAAAAGCTACTGTAATATTTTACACTTGGTAAGAAATTGGAATATTGAATTTAATTATTTATTTTTTATTATGTTTGTTATCTCAATATAAACAGAATTTTTATTAATATTTTAGAAAGTAATTCCAATATTGATTGTTTTACGCGATTATAAACACCAAAAACTATAGGTAAATAAAATATCAAGGAGGTATGAACTCCTTGGTAAATACACAGTGAAGCTGTAATGATAATCTGCCTTATTCTTCGTACCCTCTTCGAGAATTGTATTACCTTACTAAGAACACTTATTCCAGGCCTTGTAACATAAACAAACAGAATTCTATATTTCTATTCCTCCATGGTTAAACTGATCTCTGCAAACAAGCCGCCGTCTGACAAAATAAATGCTATGTTTTTCTACTAATGTATGGAGTATCTATAACAGCGTTTGACAGCAATTTATAGCACACTCAGGAATATTAAAACACATTTCCCAAGTTAACAATTTTGTGATTTGAAGATATCCTGCTTAGCATACTCTATGTCTTATAAATTTGTTTAAAAAAATATAGGATTACATACTTATATTATTGCAGTACAATATTAATATTTCCGTCTCTTTAGAAAATAAGAACGTTTTTAATAATATGATGATATCAGAAATTTATACCTCATCGATTCAGAAAATTATCAAATGTGCTGTATCAAAGGAAGAATAATCAAGGCTTTAATCTCTGTCCACACCAAATTTTATGTGACAAAAAGCACTGATATGCCCATATTTGGGTGTACCATGCCCATATATGGGCACATAACACAAATTTGTCACATAAAATTTGATAGTGTGAACAGAGCTTCAAGCTCAGTTTACATTATCAAATTTTTATGTGACAAGTGGGTGTATCACTTTTTTTTGGTCACACAAAATTAGATAGTGTAGACATTTAGTAATTAATACAAAGTTTCAATTTTTGTTAAGTTATACCATTTTTATATTATTTCTGTACCTTAATGTTTCTGGTTGGCTGTACATATCTCTACAGGTCAAGGCAGAATTAATTAGCCCCATATAATTGTCAATTGTTTGAAAAAAAAAACAATTTTC